TTTAAATGACATCCAACTCTGTGTGACACCTCGTCCTGAGGGACTGACACTTGTAGAAACCTTCATCTGACTGTGGATGAGTTTGTCATTCTGATAGAAAAACACACTGGAAATATTTCTCTCTGTCCTGAATTCGCAGCCAAGAGTGACAGACTCTCCCTCAGTCACAGGACGGGCGGGGCTCAGCAGGATAATACCATGAGTATAATAATCTGTAACAGTCAGAATATGAAGTTTCAGTCAGAGATCAGCTGGTGCCGAGCTTTAGAACCAGCTGACAGACATGATGAGAATGGATTAATTATATGCTTTTATTCTTATTCACTGCTGATTTATTTTACAGGATGATCATAAGACCTGACATTTGATCTTGTTTACTTACAACCTGCTGTGTGTGTTTTACAGAACCTGTTGCCAAATAAACAACAGCTTTTTACATTGTCCTGTAAATTCTACTGTAGTTGTTTCCTTCAGATCAGCTGTCAACATACAAGACCGACACTAAACCAAAGCCTCATCATGATGAGAGGCAACATGTGACAGGATGAGAGGAAAGATGTGACTATGATGATGTTGATGTGATGTTTAGTTGCAGCCACAGATGAGAAGCCAAGTTGTGGCTCATTAGCTCAAGAGAGAATGGAGACGTAATTAATATGTGCTCATCAATATTATTTAAATTAACACCATTTATTATTTTTTATATGATAGTCTGAAGGAAAAAACTAAACTAAACTATCGAATGTTTTCAGTGGCTTGTTACAGGAAAGAAATTTCACTTAGTACTTTGCAAGGAGGAAGATATTTACTGTGGCCAGAATTTGGACGTGATTTGTTTTATGAAGAGATGAAGTGAGTGAAGTGAGACCTGCCACCAACATCATGGTGCTGCTAAATAATGAAGAAGACTGACTGAACATTGACATTTCATTTTCATTCAGTAACAACATATTTATGTGAAGTGTACAGGACATGGAGGAAATGAGTGTCTTTGTTTGGTAACATATTAATTAATGATTAAAACCATGTAACGGACCGAACTCTCCAAGGAACTATATATGTAACAACTCAATTCTAAGACGTGATCAATTAACTCACATGAGACTTTGACAATAATTCAAATTCCAGAAAAAGTGAAATAGAGAGAAAATGCAGTGAAGCGTACTCTGTACAGTGATGTTGACTGTGTTGCTGAACTCTCCTGATCCAGACTCACACCAGTACACTGCATTACTGGGCCCATAACTGTAAATGTTACATGTGGATCCGGTCATTCTCCCCCAGTCAGAGCAGTGTGACAGGTAGTTACTCTCATCAAACCTCCTCACTCTCCACTCAGTAGAGTTTCCCTCACAGCTCAGTGAGACAGAGTCAGAGGTGAAGTGCTGCGCTCTGTCAGGACTCACTGTGAGAGACGCTGATGGACGAACATCTGAAGAACAAACACAGAAAAGGGTCAAAGCAGCAACAGAGATATGAACATTAAAAACAGCTGTTTTTCTACACTTTACTTTTACCTGCCTGTCTAACATACAGAGGTGTGTATTTCATGTTAAAAGATGCTTCTTGTCTTTATACAAAAGTGTTTTCCTCTTATTTGCCTCATTACATTTGTGTCAGTTTTATGACTGTTTGTTTATCTTGTCTCTACCTGCTTTGTTACCTGCTGAAGTCTTTTATTGTTATTCATTTATCAATCTGTCTGTGCACCTGCCTGACCACTGACTCAACTCTCCAGCTGCACTTGTCCTGTCAGCTGGGGAGTAAAAGCAATTGAGAATAAACATTAAGATGAGCTCAAGTATCCAAAATAAAAGAACACATTGAGGAAAGTGGAGCTGCACTTCAATGAGAGGTGGAAACCTTGTATCTCTGTGTTTGTTTGTGGCTTTGATGCTTTCAGATTAACTGAAGAAGGATAAGGGAAGGACAGAAGGAAACAAGGAGAGAAGGATATTCAACCCAGTTCCACAATCAGTACATTTCTTCCACTGGGGACCATGAATGTAAAAATACATTTCTTTACCAACATGAATATTTGTTTTTAGGAAATGTTGCTTAGACAAAAACATGGATGAATTCAGGTAATGACTGAACATTGAAACAACAAACTCACCTCCAGACCAGACAAACTTTACTTCACTAGTCTCAGTGTAAATCACTGGGTCTCCTCTTCCAGCTACACACACATATCCTGCTGTGTGTGTCTGACCATGGACGATGTAGGAATCCTGTTCAGTCCCACTGCTGCTTCCAGGGAGCAGCTCATAGCTGTAGGAGCGCTGTGATCCATCAGGAACAGCCTTGTACCAGTAGAACCTCCATCCTGCAGATGGATGTTCAACCTCACACTTCAGAGTTACTGAGGCTCCAGGACTCAGCCATGATGGAGACACAGTGAGGACAGGCCGGGGTTTATCTGTTGGAAAGTTATTTTCTCAGAATGAAAACATGTTATGACATTATCTCTAAACACATGAGTTGTTTAGATTTTCAGTTTAAATGAAATATGATCAGACTTACTGTCATACACTGTCAATTTGACTGAATCACTCCACTCTGTTGTATTACGATGTGCACTTTTCATCCTGCCCATACACCTGTAGTCTCCACTGTGGGATGATGAAGCAGAACTAATCCTGTATTCTTGTTGATTTGAAGGTTTGAGTGATCTGGGCGTTTCCCATTCATACGTCCACTCAGTGTCTCCTCCTCCCTGGATCTCACAGCTGACAGTGATCCTCTCTCCTTTGTATATCTCAGTCCAGTTTGGTTGCAGAGTCACAACAGCCGTGTTTGAGACTGTTCATGTTCAAGGATTTACAATAAGAACATAAAAATACAAAAAGTTTCAATTAACATCAGATTTTTTTTTATCTGAATCTTAATGATGCATCATGAATACACAATAGACTTCTTCTTCTACATTGTGCGTTTATTTCCAAACTCACCAATGGTGTCAATCCTAACTGCCTGACTGAAGTGTGTGTAGTAAACTGGGTCTCCTCTTCCTCCTCTGCACCTGTAGAGTCCTTCCTGTGAGACACTGGTTGTTCCAGTTGTCTGGGAAACAGCATCATGTCTGTTCAGAGGTTCAGAGAGTTTATTCTCTCTGTACCAGTAGTATTTCCAACCAGGTGATGGGTTCACAGAGCAGGTCAGAGTCACTCTGCCCCCTGCTGGTAGGACTCTGCTGCCTGCTGTCAGTGAGGCCTGGGGTTTATTGGCTGTTTAGTTCACAGGGAAAAACAAAACAAGTCAATGGTTAAAATAGGATTTGTTCCCTGTTACCTTGTTTCATAAACTCTGAGCAGACTTAAAACACTGACAGTTATTACAGGTGGATTCACTGAAACTGATTTCACCCAACTCACATGCAACCTGACAACCTGACACCTCTAGGGATTAATGATGGAAATAAATAAATGAATAAATCAACATCTCAGCCAAAACAACTGAATCAACTGCATCATAACTCACTTCTGCTACAAAGAAAACTACATGTGTACAGCCACAAAAAACACTTTCATTTTTGAGGGGATGTCAGTGGAAACTGTGGACTCATTAAACAACCACAGGTCATTTTATTCTTCATGTATCAGAACTGTATAGTGCTTAAGAAGTTACTCTGATGTCACAGTAAAAAGCTCATTTTCATTCCTTTGTTACTAAAGTAAAAAACATTTTTCACTGAGTGGCTGAACAGAGCTACAATGATGTCTGAAATGTTCTTGTTGTTTTATTTAGACGGAAGAGATTTTAAAAATAGGAAAACAAAATTTTTGTATAAATGAAAGATGTTCAACTCACGTGATACTGTCAATCTCAGGACCCGACTCCACTCTGTTAAGGAATAGTCTCTTCTACCTCTACACCTGTAGTCACCACTGTGAGACTCAGTAACTCTGCTGATAGTGTATTCACTGTGTGATGGAGGATTGTTTGAGCTGGGTGTTCTCCATTCATACGTCCACCCAGTGTCTCCACCTCCCTGGATCTCACATCTGACAGTGATCTTCTCTCCTCTGTATATCACAGACCAGTTGGGCTGCAGGGTCACAGTGACCCTACATGAAACTGTTGACAGAAATACACAGTGAGAAAACAACTAAATTTATAAAACTCAAATGAAAATCATAGCAGTTAGTATCACTATTTCTAATGTAGTTTGAATTTTGTAGCAGTTTAATGAACAATACAAACATGATTCAATGGCCATAAAAACAAAAACACAGGTGAAAAACAAAAGTATGAAAACATTAAAAAAAGCCATGAATTTCCAAAATGGACTAAGTGCCGAGTGTGAACCAACAAACGTATCAGGTCAGAAACAATTTCATCAACAAAAAAAAACTAACATGTTTGTCAAAATGGATTCATAAAACTCAAAACATTTTGTTAACAATATACAAACACACGCACACACACACACACACAAACACACACACACACACACACTGTTTCATACACTATATACAAACAGGGATTAAGGACAAACTTCAGCAGCAGCCAGTTGAAGGAAACTCTTCACTGACAAGTCTGACTCAACAGCTGACGTCTATTTTATAGAAAAATATAAAAGCTGCTCGACTGGTTTAAACTCTGCACTGAAACATGACAGCAGCTCCTCAGATAAAACATGGGGCTGCTCTGTGTTCAAGAACCAAGACAAGGTCACAATGTCTCACAAATACTGTGATATGAGAAATGTGTTTTAACCACCTGTAGATGTCAGTGAGAAGTGTCATTGAAGTATCTTCCACTCTTGATTTGTGTTTTTACACGACCTGAAGAGAGACTAACAGTTTGTTTCTCTCCATCCTCAGAGGATTAAGAGCTGCTGCCATATTTTCATTTTTCCATTAAAACTCTCCTGTTTTGCTTCTGACACCAAATGACTCTTTTTGAAACGACTGAGATCTGAACACAACAATGAATATTAAATGACTAAACTCACCAGTTTTCTGAATGAGGACTTCCTCACTGTTCTGAGTGAAGAACTCTGGGTCTCCTCTCCCTCCTCTGCAGTGGTAGAAACCTCCCTCTGAGACAACCATAACTCCGCCTGCTCTAACATCTCTTACTGGATCAGCTGCAGAGTGTGAGTCACGTCTGAACCCGTAGTATTTCCAGTGATCAGAGCCGTTCACAGAGCAGGTCAGTGCCACACTGCCCCCTGCTGGTATAACTGTCCTGTCTGCTGTCAGAGTGGCCTTCAGTTCAGATTCTGTTCAAGTTAGAAAAAAAAATGTTTTCCATAACAGAGGGTACACCAACATTCATCTCAATCATAGATAATGTTTTGTTGAAGTTAACTGATTCCATCCATTCAGCCCCTTTGCTTCCACGTTCATCAGCTCACACAGAAGTGTAACACAGCAGCCAGCACAACATGCCACGACTCAAACAGAGAGTATAATTACTTTCTGTGTAAAAAATGAATCATATGTCTCTTTGTTATTAAAATCTTCAGGCAGGACTGTTTTACTTTACTGTGGCTGTGTTTGATCTTTTCCCCCCTTCAGAGTTATCTGCACTGTCCACTTGTTCATTCGGCTGCCCTGTTGACATGATCAGATTAATGCATGAATAAACTCTATCTATGAAAATAACAGACTCTTCAGTAAATGCAGTTTGACATTAGGGTCAGCACAGCATTTGGTTTCCCTCCTTCAACATGCATAGCCTCCAACACTGCCCAGACACAGTCAATTAGATATTTCAGATCCATGTTTCTGTTCATGTTCAAGTTTTAGTCGTTCTAGAGGCTCATACTGTCCCAACGTCATAGAAAGACTTTTCCTCTTGGTTTTGCCTTTCATTTGTCAAACATCTATATGTGCAATATTTGATCATTTCTGACTTTGACAGCTCCTACAGGTGATACCAAAGGAAACTGTGTGGCAGTCAGCACACATGCCAACAACTTAAGTCAGTGAGATCATCTGTACTGCATGCAGGACACTGTGACAGACTCTGACTGCGCTTGATTCTGTCTTCATACCAGACTCATCAGTGCCCTCTGCTGGGTCACTACTCTGCCCTGTTAAGATGACCAGATGAACGCATGAAATCTGTATGAAGGTAACAGGCTCTGCCCTGAGGGTCAGCACAACATGACGACCTCATACATGAACGTGCAGCCAACACCAACCAGGAGAGATAAATACAACATGAACTGTTTTGAAAAATATGCAATTTCATACTGTTGAGCACAAATGAAGTCATTTAATAATTTACATTGATAAATAAAATAAAATAAAATAAAAAAAGACGATATGATTAAGAGTGACATTGTCAATAATAAGTCGCAGATAAATACTATATATAACATTATATAAGTGAGAAAAAACAGGAAGGAACTTGTTACCTTCAGCCTTTCCGTAGAAGAGTGTATTCAGCACTAAAATAAAGATTGAAACCTCATCAGACATGATCAATCTGACAAACAGTCAAAACCATAATAAACTACAGCATTTAAGAACCAGGTGGATTTTCAGCTGAAGCAGCTCTTGCTTATCAACTCATTTCTGAGGCAATACTCAAAAAACAAAACTCAAAAGAAACACATGAAATAACATGAGAAATATATTAAATCTATAAACATAATACCTTAGACTATATACTGTGCATGCATCGTACAAATGTTTGTCCAAAATAACTAGTACAGTCGTGTATTTAGTCCACAACTCTGAACCAAGAATAACCAACACACATGGTCATGTCAACAAAAGATTGTGAAAGTAACTGATGTACTCACAGAATAAGGACAGCACACAGAGCAGAGTGTGCCCCATCTTCACATCCAGCACTGACACCGTCGCCCTGCTGCTCTGCTTCTGGGAAATGTTCCAACTTTACATGAATAATAACGAGCAAAAAGAGAGAGAAAAAAGGACGTTACATAAGAAGAAGAAGTTACATTTCATACAAATACGAGATTAGAATTTCTTTCGACTTCTCCTTCTGAGTATAGCCTTTCTGTTCTTCCTTCTGTTTCACACAACTCGGATATGTGCTTTAGGTTTGACCACAGAATACTTTGACCAATTTTCGCTTCCTGCCCACAGAAAAAGTTGTGTGTATCTATGTATGTGTGTGATACATGCTCTCCATTGAGTATCTGATACAACATGTCATCTAAACGTTTCTTATTCTGTGGTGGAATTGTTTGATCTACCTGCTTTACAACTGTGTTTCCTTGTCATCACTCAAATACTCAGCAATAACATTGTGGTGATGATACACACCGATCAGACACAACATTGAAACTACCTGCCTAATATTGTGTAGGTCCTAAGAAGAATTAAGTCTTATTAGAACTGGTGAAAGAAAAGTTCCTCTTTACACATTAAGGTGTGCTGCTGTGATAGAAAGAAAAGATTGTGCCATCTCCACATTCACACACACAAGATGTTTACAAGTAGATAAGAAGAAGTGTTATATCCTATACAGGATGTTTAACGTGGTAGAAATGAAGTCCAGTACAATGCATATGGACAGATAACATGATGGTCAATATTTATTTCTCAGTCTGAAATCTCATGAGAAGACAACAAGCAAAGCCAGAAGGTTGAGTTTGATAAAAAATGTATCATAAACATCCCCACACTGTTCTTCATGTTGAACACTCGCTATCACCTCTGTCCGGTTTACTGTATGTGGTCAACTGGGTGTGAAACATGCAGTTCCAAGTAAAAATGTTGCTGTTGTGTTCAGTAAAGAGATGGTGCAGATAGTTGGTGTCACTCTAAACAAAAACGTACACACTGAGACCCGAACAATGAAAGCCTTCCTCCCTGAATCATTTTCACCGTCCAGTGTTTGATGTGGCCCGTCGGTCCAAAACATGTCGAATGCATGAAAGACATTTGCAGTGTCACATGTAGCCTGCTGCTATAGTAACCACAGAAATAAAATGCATGATGTCATTGTGTTGTAGTTACTACTCTGCAACTAGAGTCTAAGAAGAAGTAAGCCAAGCCTCTGCTTATCAGCACCCGAAATAAAGTCAGCTTCACAGCTTCCTTTAACACCTCCACCTCCTTTACATGCTTTGTTGACTGGCTCATCAGATCACATCGTCCTTTTCACGTTAGATGCAAAATTAAACCTTAATTCATTCACATTAGGTGATTTCCAACCTGAATGATATTACTCCAATGTAGACAGGACAGTCTGCTGTGAGCTGAGGACAGAAAACAAGTCGTTCGGCTCGAGCTGGAGCCTGTTTCCTCGGCTACAAAGACACAAACGTCACCTACACGTCAGTGACATCATCACCTGTTCTTACTAAAGTCTCCAAATGTGTCTGAGCTTCACTCACAGATCAAACTGCAGCATGATGACAGAAGAAGAGGAGCAGAGACCAGCCATCACTCATTAAGGAGCAGAGGTTGCTGCTGTCGATTGTGACTATAGACTGTATATTGTGTGACACACGGTGACAGTGCTGTGTAACACCAAACAACATGCTGGAAGCAGAAAGGACAATAAGGAAGCAGCAAGAAGAGATGCAGGTTCTTGGATGCCAGAACAATCACCATCACTCTAATACAGTGTGCTGCGCCTGCAATAAAGAAGAAGAAGAAGAAAAACTCTCTGTGGATTTATGAGAATAAACAAACATCAGGAAACTGAGCAGGCATGCTATCGTTAGCTTGTTAGCAGGAGGTATCATGACCTGCTCCATTATGAGCTTCATCTCCGGCCTCTCTCGCCTCAATTCAGATGTGGACTAGTAAAGGTGCACTAGCCACCATTTGTAACAGAAAATCCAACCATGATTGTTCACTTCACCTCATTATATTTATTTATAAACCCCATTTCTTTTAGTAGAAAAAATGAGATAAAATAAGAAAAAGTGATATAATATGGTGCAAAATAGATAATATTAAAAAAATTATACAAATATGATTTACATTCGTACAACAACCCACATAAAGTCATTCAGTTTGTAAAAGGTAAACTTCTACAAAGTTGCCACATCTCTTCTAAGACAACAAGAGCATCCATTATATCTCATTTCCACTTTGAAAAACTGGCAAATACATTTAAACGATTCCATATCAGAACTTGACAAGTGGTTGTGTTTACCCTGTAAGGTCTTGGCAGTCATAGCGTCATGACAAGCGAGCGGAGGTGTGCGTGAATAATGACCATTATATATGAATGTATAACATCACGGCTGACTTTAAAAGTACAGCAGTCCTACGCCGTCTAACCTCCAGAATGATTGCAACAAAGATTTACATAATGAGCATAAAGACAAAAGCAAATCGTCTCAGCAGTTTTGTTATTAATGCTGGCCGTGTCTTTCTTTCATATGATTTGCTAGAAAACTGCACAGGATACTGTGTCTAACATTTGGATGGCAGCAGTTGTATCAATGCTGTGAAGCGTTTTTTTCACGATGTCGTCCACGCTTCTTTTGTCTTCCTCGATGATGCACGTCTCTTTATGGACCTGGCACAAAATGACAACAACCACAAATTAAAACATACGCACATGATACATTTACCTGGTCAATGGGACATGTATTATGTAATATAATGTTAATACAGTTTTACTGAATGCATTTGAAATCCGAGACACCAACATTGACTGTAATTCAAACTGTACACGGACCTTTAATTACATGAGCTTCTCTTGTATTTAATATTCTTAATATTTATATATATTTTAATATTTATTATTTGTACCTGCAGCTGCATCTGGATTCACATTATAGTAGTCAGACCTGTCACCTGGATCATCTCGGTTTCCTGTAATGGTAAAAAAATAAAAAAATAAATAAAAATCAAGCTCTTTTACACTAAATGCAAAGTATGTGTGTAATTACATGTTTGTTCTGGAGCGGGTTTTCATGGTTCGGCCTCTCAGCTCTGATGAATGGAAATCTTAACACTGCAGCATCCACTTACATTTTAGATAACTGTGTGGCAACACAGGCCCTGCACTGTTTCAACATGACACCTCCCATGCACAAAGCCAGGGTCATAAAGAAACAGCCCTGACCTCCACCCTGTTGAAATCCACATACCTTTCACCACGTAACACATTTAATAATAATAACAATAACAATAAGAAGAAGAAGAAGAAGAAGAAGAAGAAGAAGAAGAAGAATGAAATTAGAAAGTTTTCAGCGGCTTGGATTTTACTCAGTTAAAATCAGACCATTGTGGACTTCTCTGCACGAACTGAAGTTTATACTGTACCATTCCCAGTGTTTTCAGAGCCTCTGATTGATTCATAGACACAGACGTCACCTACAAGTCAATAAAAATGAATCCATGATTAGAGTTCTAAACCTCAGGAAACAATTTTAAAGTACTAAGATTCGGTGTAACAGTTAAACCTGCAGCACAGTATGGTGTGATGTTATTGTTGTACATTATAACAACAGGATATGAATACAGAAGAGGGGCAGAATTAGCTGTGACAGGATTCTAGATTAGACGGAGGGCTGACCGTGGAGAAGAGACGAGTATATTTGCTGTTGATTTGCATCTCGGTTGACAGTTTGGTCCGTAGCAGAGTCCTGATCGGTCTTTTCAGACTGGACGGGCCTGAAACATGTCGTCATAATAAGTAGTAAAAGTAAAAAAAATAAAATAAAACATGTTTTACGCATTTCTGTTATGAAGAAGATGAGACAAGAGAGTGTTGCACCAACCTGTTGCAACGCGGATCTGTGAACAAGACAATAATCATTACGTTGCATGATTTTGAATTGCAAACTGAATCACTGCTCCGTGTCATGACAATGATTTTTGAACAAGCAGGGAGTAACTGATCTACAACAAAGAAGGAAAAGCTCTCACTCTTTGACTTCCTGCACCAGCACAACAGTAGCAGCGGCAGGAGAACAACCAGCGCGACACCGATAACCAGCCCGACGACCAGCGGCTCGGGAGATGAGGAGCGAGACGCTGCAATAATAAATAAGAAGGATTGATCAACGTCATCTATGACAGGATTACACAAGAGGGGACCTCAGTTATAAATATTTTCTGAGCTTATTGTTGCAAGAGGACCTCAAGTGTTCTTGCTGCTTGGAGCAGAAATAAATTCAAGCAGAAAGCGTAGAGATGAAAAATTAAGTGAACATGAATTTTAAATGTAACTCCAAATATTTTTTGGTGACAATCATCAAAAAAGAGAAACATTGCAAAGATAAGTAAACCACACCACATTACTTTACATGGACAGGCCCATTTTAACACGTGTGGTGAATTACTGGGGAGCTACTGCATAAGTGGAATGTTTTTTTTTTAACAAAATCCAATGAATCAAATAATCAACCTAAATATGGCAGGACACATTAATGAAGACTTATATATGTATAAATCACACTCACATTTTACTGACATCCAACTCTGTGGTGACTCATTTCCTGAATGTTCACACTTGTAGAAGCCTTCGTCTGACTTTGACACCGCAGAGATATTCAGCACCCCTCTGTCGTCATTGTGGATGACGTTGCCATTTTTGTAGAAAGCGACATTAGAAAAAAATGAGAGTCCTGTCCTCAATTTGCAGAGAAGAGAAACAGAATCTCCCTCGTTCACGGGGTGGAGGGGGCTCACCAGGATAATAACAGTATCTGTAAAACCATTAAAAAAATAAAAACATGACTAATATGAACAGCCTGACATCAAATTAACTGCGTCACAGTAAGAAACAGTAGAACAAAGAAGGAATAAATGTAATGAAAACCTACAACTTGCGGTGATGTTGACCGCGTTGCTGAACTCTCCTGATCCAGACTCACACCAGTACGCATCATTCCTGGGTAAGAGACCATGGACGTTGCAGGTGGATCCAGTCATTGTGGTAAAGCAGTATGAAGAGTATGGCAGGGAGCGACCATCAGGAAACCTCCTCACTCTCCACTCAGTAGAGTTTCCCTCACAGCTCAGTGAGACAGAGTCAGAGGTGAAGTGCTGCGCTCCGTCAGGACTCACTGTGAGAGACGCTGCTGGATGAACATCTGGAAAACATGCACGGAGGAAAACGAACGACAGAGACAATATAAGATTTTTAAAAAAAAAACACCAACACAACGACTAGTTTGGTTTCATTGTTTTTTGGTCTTTTTAAAGCAGTTTACAAGATATGTTGCTGACAAAAAAAAGATGGACAGACTCAAGTGACAACATAACATCTGCTTTATGAGGGGAGAAACACAAAAACAAACCAACTCACCTCCAGACCAGACAAACTTTACTTCACTAGTCTCAGTGTAAATCACTGGGTCTCCTCTTCCAGCCTTACACACATATCCTGCTGTGTGTGTCTGACCATGGACGATGTAGGAATCCTGTTCAGTCCCACTGCTGCTTCCAGGGAGCAGCTCGTAGCTGTAGGAGTGGTAGTAATCAAAATCTATCCAGCGTCCACGTATAGAGTGGTAGCGGTTATACATGTTGCTTTTGGACAATCTGGGAACAGCCTTGTACCAGTAGAACCTCCATCCTGCAGATGGATGTTCAACCTCACACTTCAGAGTTACTGAGGCTCCAGGACTCAGCCATGATGGAGACACAGTGAGGACAGGTTGTGATGCTACACAATTAACACAAACAGTACAAACACTTTCTTCAAATGCAGTATAAAGCACAAACTTGGAGACATTAATGGTTTTATTGCGTGAATGAAACATGACTTGACTTACTGTAAGATACTGTTAATTTGAAGGGAACACTCCATCCTGTTGAATTCTGTTGTGCACTTTTCAGTCTGCCCTTACACCAATAGTAGTCACCACTTTGTGATGAAGACGACAAACTAATCCTCTCTTCATTGTTGTTTGAACGTTTATATGAGCTGGTTGTCATCCATTCATACGTCCACTCAGTGTCTCCTCCTCCCTGGATCTCACAGCTGACAGTGATCGTCTCTCCTCTGTATATCTCAGGCCAGTTGGGCTGCACAGTCACAACAGCCGTGTTGCTGACTACTGGTGGTTAAAATTCACAAATAAAAGACACAAAAAAATGGCAAACTGTTATATCAGAATCAACAATTTCATTGTCTCAATGAGTTTTTACAAAAACTCTTTACCACACTCACCAGTTTTGTGAATGTTGACAGAGTCGCTGAACTCTGTGTAGTACACTGGGTCTCCTCTTCCTCCTCTGCACCAGTAGAGTCCTTCCTGTGAGACACTGATGTCTCCACTTGAGTGGGAAACAGCATCTTGTGTCGTCAGGGGCTCAGAGGTTTTCTCGCCTGTGTACCAGTAGTATTTCCAACCAGATGATGATGGGTTCACAGAGCAGGTCAGTGTCACCCTGCCCCCTGCTGCAAAGGCTCTGTTGTCAGCACTCAGGTTAGCAGTTGGTCTGTCTGCTGATATATATATGAAAAAAACATTGTTACTGTCCCTGTGATTAAGTTCAATTTAAGTAACTTATAAATATAAAATAATAAATAATTCATCTCATTCTGTACTCTTGTACCAAGTCCATAAAAAACGCCCTATGGGTATTTATTGTGTGTTAATGTGGCGTTAGATCAGCGTATTAATGACTTTTCTGCTCGTCCTGAACACACATCTTTGTGAGGCATGTTTCTCCTCTATGTCAGGCACAAAAACAAAAAAGAAAAAAAATTAGGAATAGAATAAATGTAAGAAACAAACCGTCCCATATCCATATCTTCCTATGACAAGCCATTAAAACACAGTCTTCCTTACCAGAAACTGTCAACGTGATGACGTCGCTCCACTCTGTCGAGGAAAACAAGTCCCGTTTGTCTTTACCCTTACACCTGTAGTTCCCGCTGTCGGACACAGATGCACTGTCGATCCTGTATTCATCGTATGCTGGAACCGTGCTGGACTTGGGTTCGCTCCATTCATACTCCCACTCGGTGCTTCCACCTCCGTGAATCCCACATCTAACGGTGATGGTCTCACCAGTGAACACCAGAGGCCAGTTGGGTTGCAGGAACACAACAGCCTTGTTGGAAACTGTTCACAAATAGAAGAAGAAAAACAGAAGAAACTAGTCCCCGAGCACTGATTCTGCATGTTGCATTGCTCCAAACTGAAGCACCAACACTTACCTGTTTTCTCAATTGTGACTGACTCGCTGTTCTCTGTGGAGAAAGCTGTGTCTCGTCTCCCTCCTCTGCAGTGGTAGATGCCTCCATGTGAGATACTGATAACTTTGCCCGGTTCACCAGCTCTTATGGCCTGAGCATCAGAAGAGTGTGAGGTACGTCTGAACCAGTCGTATTTCCACTCAGTGGAGTTTTCCACAGAGCAGGTCAGTGTTACGCTGCCATTTACCGGTACGGTTCTCTTATCTGCCATAACTGTGGGCCTGGGTTTATGTGCTGTTCATTTAAATACATTATAGAAATAGATTAACAAATGAAATCACACACACAAAAAAAATTGACATTATGATTGAAATCTGACTTACATGACACTCTAAGTGTGAAGGCCTGACTCCACTCTGTTGAAGAATACAAGTCTCTTCTAGCCTTGCACCAGTAGTCTCCACTGTAGGAAGCAGAGGCACTGCTCAGCCTGTATTCACTGTGTGTGGGAGGTGCGTTTGAGCTGGTTGTTCTCCATTCATATTCCCAGTCGGTGTCTCCGCCTCCCTGGATCTCACATCTGACAGTGATCATCTCACCGCTGTATATCTGAGTCCAGTTGTGTGTCAGGGTCACATAGTTCTTGTTGGGCACTGTGCACACCAAAAATACACAGTAAATATTCAAATATTCACAGTGATGAATGCATTAAAATAAGTTACTAAACCTACAAGTTTTCTCAATACGATGCATATCACTGAGCTTTGTGAAGAAAACTGGGTTTCCTCTTCTTCCTCTGCACCGGTAGATGCCTTCGTGTGAGACGCTGACAGAGTTTTGCACACCATCCGTTACCATCTTAGTTTCATGAGAGTCTGGGTTACGTGAGAACCAGTCGTATTTCCAGTCCCCGGAGCCCTCAACAGAACAGGTGAGTGTCAGAGTGCCACCTGCTGGTATGGATGTCCTGGCTGCCCTCAGAGTGGCCGTGGGTCTGAGAGCTGTTTGGATAAGAATATAGTCATTATTTATCATAAATTAATCCAAGATTATTTTTCTTATATATATTTCTCATAGTACATTTCTTCAAAGTACTTGTTAGCTTGCTGCAGTACTGTAATGATTTGGACTGTAGGATAGCTTTAACGGATCAGTCTTCAGACAGAAAACTCCAGTCTGCTGCTTTCACATGACATACTCCTCTCTGTGCAACATGTAATCTATCCACTGCACCCTTTGCTACGTGGTAGTGTACTTAACCTGTCACTCCTCACTCATTTCCTGGCATGCTTGTTGTCACACTGCTCAGCTAAAAGCCGACTGAACTTCTACAGCGGCTATTCTTGTATTCAGAGCAGGAAGACATATGATTTCAAATGACTCATTTGAATTTTTGTTTCTGTGAATTGTCTACATCGTGAAAATCGAGTTATTACTCCGTGCACAGAAGGCGACTTTTAGCAAAAATATAATGCAGATGACAGCTGGCTACATCAGCTGCGATGGGTCATGGCGTGAAGCGTGCTCCTGTAGTCACACTGCTGTGCGCGGGCCTGGATGCACACACGCTAAACTTGACGAGGCTGACTGGTTCTAACTAGAATGATAATCTCAACATGGCTGTGCTACAGGTGATAGTAAACTTCACAGCAGGGACAATAAATGTGATATCTTACCTGATACAGAGAGAGTGACCTTATTGCTATGTTTTGTAAGATTTGTTGAGCCTTGGTGGCGGCCGATGCACTGATAGTCACCGCTCAGGTCTTCCGTTAGCTCGAGCGAGTAGGACTTCCTCGAATTGAAGGAGACAATTTGTTGACCGTTCCAGTTGAATTTGTAATACCAGTCAGTGTCATTTCCCTCATTCATGTCACATATGAAGGTCACGGACTCTCCAGTGAATAAATAGGATGATCTGGGTTCAAGGGTCAACGCAGCATCTACAACCCGAGACAAGCATACATACAACATAACACAGTTAGAAACAGTACAACCCAGAATTGTATTTAGGAATATGTAATTTCTTTCTCTGAAATGCGACATTATTCATACATATACTCATTTGTTGTCAGATGAAATTAAACAATACAAACATTAATAACACCCGAAGCAAAGACAAAGTGATCAGGAGTAATAAAGAGGTATAAAGATACATCTTGAGTGATACATAGAAAAATAAAGAAAGTAGTTGAGTCACCTTCAGCCTGTCCACAGTGGAGGAGTGGCAGCACTAAAATAAAAGAAAGAATAAAAGTGGTATCTCATCAGATATTATCAAACCTAAGTAAATTCATTGTTGTGTTTTTTGTTTTTATTTATGTCTGTTATCAAAAAGTAAACATAAAGAGTCTTAAAATGTTACACATTGATAATTGCAGTATTGATGTCTCAAGTCTCAGCGCCCTTTTACCGAAAGGGAGGATGAAACATCTGTGGTTGAAACATGACATCATGTCACGTTCACATGACTGATTTAAAATTAGACCCTTTTTTTTCATGTGCAAATTTCAGGCATAAAATAATTAAGTATAAAAAAATGATTAATGAGTAATATTATTTTTCTCTATAAGTCAAGATTAAAAAGCATGTTGCATTAAACTACAATAAGCCCAATTTACTCTAAACAAAAAGTCACTTAACTACATGTAACAGAGTAAATGTTACCACCCACCTCTGCACACAGATAATAACCAGTGGCATTTAAAGACATGTACATTCAAACGGTGAAAGTGTCTGAAGTACTCACGGAATAATGACAGCACACAGAGCAAAGTGTGCCCCATTCTCACATCCAGCACTGACACTCTGTCGCTCGGCTTCTGAAAAGCCCACAGACTAATACTGCAGCAGGAAGAGAAACAGGGAACTGCGGGGGAAAATATTCACGTCCATATGAGGGAAGAGGTTTTCTACCACTTCTTTCTCTGAGTTTAGCCCATCTCAGGTTCCTTCTTTTTCTTTTCTGTTTTTACACAGAACTCACGCCACTACTCTGGGTTTTAACCACTGTGAGCTTCCTGTTGAGCCACCAGAGAAGAGGCGCCACACGGCCCCTGCACATGAGACCCAACTAGGATGGAAGTACACACTTATTGCAAGTAATTATTGAACATTTTGCATCATATGATACTGTATGTATCATTAGTGGTGTGTTTTGTGTGCACGCAGATCACAAGACAGCAGCGATGGAAATGATGAAATGAAATATCTTAAAATGTTCTATCTATCTACAGCAGGCCTGTATCAGAGGTGTTGATGATGTGATGATGATGATTTCATATTGTGGAGGATAACTGAGACTTTTCAGTGAAAAAAGAGAATAAACATAAGGTACAATCTTAAAGCTGCAGTATGTAGCATTTTTCTCATGGAGTTGAAATTGCTCTAAAACATATGTCAGTGTACCAAAGGTCAAAGTGTGGAGTGGAAACTCATGGCTGTCAATCAACATGTCAACACACTTCTGGTCTACCACTCCTCCAAGATGTCGCCATGGCTGACTTTCCTCCTACATTGTATATTTGAGATAATAATAATTGAGGTCCCTCCTCTGCTCCTCATATGGAAGGTAGAGGGAGACGCTGCACATGAAAATTGCCGCATAAAATTTAAACTTTTTTAAAGAACACACAAAGTGTTTGTCAGAAAAAAAGCGTCATCGGCTTCGACCAGGTCGGCGTCACAACACAGCTGGAAGAAGGACATAAAAAGGAGAACCGTGTGCTACAGTAGGTGTAATTTTAAACGTGTACTTTCACATTTACTCATCTGGCAGACGCGTTTATCCAAAGTGACTTACGAGTGAGGGACATCACTGAAGCTTCAAAACTGTGTTTCCCAAAATATTAAGAAAACTGTATTTAAATTTACAGCAGTGGTGAATGTGATCTTGGAAAGGTGGCGAGCAGTGAGCAGAGAAAAGCCTCCAGTTCCCACACTAAGGTGAAAACTGACTTCTGCTTTGAACACACAGACAAAAGTTCATTTCAATCTAAATATAAATAGATTCTTTAAACAGACGAAAGTAAGAAGCACTCTATCCAGACAACATCAGATGTTTTTCTCTCTTGTAACTTTGGCATAAACACGGTAAAACATACAGAAATCTGGGGACTAAAATGTTATTTTTGAAATGTGCTTCTTCCTGCTGCAAACGGAGCGGCCTGAGGAGAAAATATCCGAGGCTAAACTCAGCTTTACTTCCTCTTCACACCTATGAAATGTGCTGCTGGATAGAGAGCATCATCATCACACTGACACCAGATCTTATCTCTCTACAAACGGCAACAAACTAAAAATATTGTGTGCATAACGTTTTCAATTCTAATAATTCACCTGCGCTCTGGTCTCATCTCATCATCTTACATGGGAAATAGTTGTTTGTTGCTATAATATTGTTTAAAATATCATTTTCAGAATCTTTGAATTTTTGACTTTATTGGTTACGATCACAACTTCACAAAAGCTGATTCTTTAATTCTTTTGTCCTGTACCTTTTTTTTCTCATGTTTTTGGACGATCTGATTCACAGATGCACACATCACCTCCGGCTGACCTGACCTCACCACAGTGAGGTCAGGTCAGCCACGGCTCGTACCGGCGCAGAGCGATAATTTTCTTCTCTTCATTAAGCGCATTAAGTGCATGTCCTGTTTGGACAGTGTAGAGAATTGAGTTTTCTCAAATAACTGCAACACAGTGTAGTGTAAAGATAAGTAGAACAGATAATATAATATTGTAGTTTGTAGCATAAAATTGGGGTAAAACATTCAGCGTCGCAAAAGCAGCAAAGATTTTTGTTTTTCCAGGACTTTTCTGGTTTTCTGTCACTGTCCATTTGTTTGAATTTTTCCAACAGTGCACCTGTGAACTATGGGACACCCAACTGTGCAGAGAGGACTACATGAAGAATTACATGAAAGCAATAAATAAATAAAACAAGGGGCCGACAGTTTTTGACATTTATTGCTCCCAAGAAGCTTTAAAGAGCACAAAAGGAACAGCTGAAAAAATGACATGCAATCCCCTATTGATTGATTTTAGAAGACACGCAGGAAGACTTTCATCTGTTCTTTGATGACAGATCATTACTCATTGAAAAATGAGTTGTGGGTATCAGGGATCCAGCATTGGTCATCTAATACAAAAACAAAGGGTGTCTTTGAGGCTGCACAATCAGCAGAGTGCTGAGACCCTAGTTTGAAATATTTCCCAGTGATCCAACACAGCAACACAACAGTGAACCGACTGACAAATGAAGGTGGGCTTAACTCCTTAACAGTGCAACAATATGGATAAAACTAAAATGCTATATACATGTTGATGCATCAGCATTAATGATCTAATTTTTTGCAGTTTTTTTTTTTTTTTAAATGTAGTTTCACTTAGTTTCGCAAACTTAAGTTAGAAATCTTCGGGTCACAATATTGATAAGCTGTTGAATCGATCAAGATTAGAATGAAGGCTGACCATGTGGAGGAAAGAAGTAATCATTAGGTTCAGTTCTCCTCTGGTTGACCATGTGACTCAGAGCAGTGCCCTCACTAGCTCTTTGAGTGAACCTATAAAATCAAGTGAAGAAAATAAGTTGAATGAGAAATGAGTAACGTGCAACTGTTATGTTCAAAATGAGAGAAAAGAGTACCGACCTGACAAAGCAGAGATCTGTGAAAAAAACATGTTGTCAGATGGTGTTGTACTGAATCCTGATTGATTATTATCTCATGTCATGACATCAGAATGCATCTGTGTACAGAATTGAACATTAGAGTAAAAAAAGGTCTTACCCTTGGATTTCCTATAGCAATACAGGAGCAGGAGAATAATGAGTACGACTCCACAAACCAGCCCAATGAGCAACGACAGAAGAAACAAAGGTCCTGACACGGCCATAAAAAATATTACATGATAAGTATAAATACATGTTATGTTTTTATGCAGCATCACCATTCACTGTACACATCTAAAGCATACACAGACAAACACACACAAACATATAAATCCAGAAATATAGGAACACGGATGCAAATACACACTGGCACAAACAATGGTTTACTTACCAATATTTCATTCATTTGATTTCCAATAATTTACTTTTGTGTGTTTTTACATTTCACTTCCTGCATGATTTTATATTTCTCCCTTAAAAACCCGTATGTATGAAACAAGTTCCCCTACACAATTTAAAGCGTTTCAGTTTCAGAGGAAATCGTTGAAATGTACTCACATTTTACCGATATCCAACTCTGCGGTGATTTTTCTCCCGAATATTCACACCTGTAGAAGCCTTCATCCGACTTTGACACCGCAGTGATATTCAGTTTCACCCTGATGTCGTCTTGGACGATTTTATCATTGTGATAGAAAACCACGCGGGATGGATACTGCGCCCTCTTTAATTTCTGTAATTTGCAGCCAAGAGTAACAGACCCTCCCTCGGTCACAGGATGGGCAGGGCTCACCAGGATAACACCTTTATCTGTTAAAAGGTCAAGCTCAGAAGCTCAGCTTTAATCCTGCTGAAACTCTTCTATTTTGTACAGCAATGTAACTTTCATTACAACTTTTAAAACGACAAACAGAAATAAATAAATTAACTAGAAAAATTTTAATTTAAAAGTTTAGTTTGGATGGAAATGTAATTCCTAGGAGACAGGGCTGCATCAAGATTTATTTTGCTGCTCCATGGTGGTGATGAAGACTAGACCATATAATTATAACAAGAACAAGCATTTCATTTTCAAAGGAGAATAAATGAACAAGCCTAGTTACAGTAGGTTGAGTCTACAATAAGTCTATTTAGAAAAGAAATTCATCAAAACTTACCATGTACAGTGATGTTGACTGCATTGCTGAACTCTCCTGATTCAGATTCACACCAGTACACTGCATTACTGGGGTTGTAAGTTTCTATTTTGAATGTGGATCTGTTCAGCATCCTCCAGTCAGAGCAGGATGACAGGGAGCCATCATCAATAATCCCCCTCACCCTCCACTCAGCAGAGGTTCCCTCACAGCTCACAAAGACAGAGTCGTACGTGAAGTGCTGCACTCTGTCAGGAATCACTGTGAGAGACGCTGATGGATGAACATCTGGAAAAGATATAATGAGAGTTCAAATAATTTCTGTTTCGATTTCGTCTCTAGTTTGGTGATTTAGGGTCAAATGAAGAAAGAAAGATGGAGGAACAGAAGGAAATAAGGAGAGGAGGAAGTTCATGTTCTTCATGGTCTTGAATATTCACACAAATCATGTGTCAGTATGACAGGGGGCTCAGGGGCTATGCTCATGTAAAAAAAAATCAGCCTCATCAAGTATACGTTAAAATCACTGAGTGAGTTGGAAGCTACATGTTTGGACTGGAGATGGCGTCATTGTCCTCAATATAACTTGATCACATTTAGCTGCTGAACAGCTGAACAGACTGACTCGGTGACAAAACATCTGCTTCTTTAAAGAAAGAAATGAAAAGACAAACTCACCTCCAGACCAGACAAACTTTGTTTCACTATACATAGTGTAAATCACTGGGTTTCCTCTTCCAGCCTTACACACATATCCTGCTGTGTGTGTCTGACCATGGACGATGTAGGAATCCTGTTCAGTCCCACTGCTGCTTCCAGGGAGCAGCTCATAGCTGTAGGGGTCATGTATATCTGACCATGTGGTAAAAATGATCTGGTCATATCCGTAATCATAATTGGCATTGTCCGTTACATCAGGAACAGCCTTGTACCAGTAGAACCTCCATCCTGCAGATGGATGTTCAACCTCACACTTCAGAGTTACTGAGGCTCCAGGACTCAGCCATGATGGAGACACAGTGAGGACAGGCCGCGGTTTATCTGTTGGAAAGTTATTTTCTCAGAATGAAAACATGTTAAGACGTCTAGTCTCTGAACATGGAATCATTTTTCTCTCAAAACATTATCCCAAAATACATAATGACTTGTTTACATTTTCAGATGAAATGAAAATTGATCAGACTTACTGTCATACACTGTCAATTTGACTGAATCACTCCACTCTGTTGTATTATGTTGTGCACTTTTCATCCTGCCCCTACACCTGTAGTCTCCACTGTGGGATGATGAAGCAGAACTAATCCTGTATTCTTGTTGATTTGAAGGTTTGAGTGATCTGTTAGTTTTCCATTCATACGTCCACTCAGTGTCTCCTCCTCCCTGGATCTCACAGCTGACAGTGATCGTCTCTCCTCTGTATATCTCAGTCCAGTTGGGCTGCAGCACAATAACAGCCGTGAAAGCTGTTTGCACGAATTCTTAAGAGAGAAAAATCACCAGAAAAGCAGCCGCAAGAATCATGATTCACTTGAAGATTTAAAATTCACTCCACACAGTTCAGATGTGACACAGTTCTTTATTCTAGGAGGTAGCCTACTTTACTGATGGCAGAAAATGTGTCACTGATGATTCAGTACTGTCTCCCTTTTTTTAAAAAAACAGATCACAGTTCTAAACGTAGCCTTTAAAAAAAACTGAGTGAGTTTGAAACTACATGTTTGGACTGGAGATGGCGTCATTGTCCTCAATATAACTTGATCACAGTCAAACAGCTGAACAGACTGACTCGGTGACAAAACATCTGCTTCTTTAAAGAAAGAAATGAAAAGACAAACTCACCTCCAGACCAGACAAACTTTGTTTCACTATACATAGTGTAAAACACCGGGTCTCCTCTTCCAGCTCTACATGAATATCCTGCTGTGTGTGTCTGACCATGGACGATGTAGGAATCCCTTCTAGTTCCACTGCTGCTTCCAGGGAGCAGCTCATAGTTGTAGGAGTGCTGTGATCCATCAGGAACAGTCTTGTACCAGTAGAACCTCCATCCTGCAGATGGATGTTCAACCTCACACTTCATGATGGAGACCCAGTGAGGACAGGCCGGGGTGCACCTGGTAGAGAGTGATTTTTCATAATGAAAACATACTATGATGTACATTTACTTCTCTCTAAATACTAGAAGCAATAAATACTTTATACAACGAATCATTAACAGTGTGAATGAGGATGACTCACTGTAAGAAAACTTCAATGTGACCCAAGGACTCCACTCTGTTGAATGCTGCTGTGCACTTTTGACTCTTCCCTTACATCTGTAGCTTCCACTGTAGCGCGGAGAAGCAAAACTAATCCTGAATTCTTTTTCTGTCAAATGTATGGGTGTGGGTGTTACCCACTCATACTCCCACTCAGTGTCTCCTCCAGACTTAATATCACACCTGAGAGTGACCATCTCTCCAGAGTATATCTCAGGCCATTTGGGCTGCAGCCAGAGAACAGCCCTGGAAGCTGTTTGCAAGAATTAGTAATAGTTAGAAAGCAGAAGAATCACTAGAAAAAAATGCTGCTTAGCTTTGCAATGATCACATAATGATTAGACAGAAGAAGAACAAAGTGACTGACTCAACAATTATTAAGTCTTGACTTATCTAGACTAGAAGACGACGTTAAAGGGAAGTATACTCTACTTCACTCCTCTGTGTGCACAGGGGTTGATTTAATAAAAAGATCTTAGCTAATACTCCAGAGAGTTGAAAAAGAAGAATGAAGATTTAATTTCAAACTCTCGTGCACATTTCATAACATAATAAAAAATTATAATATAAAATAAAAATAATAATAATATAATAATAATACATGGACAAATATGAGACTGAAAGAGGATGTGAAAAGATGTGTTCAGTTACCTTCAGCATATCCACAATACAGGAGTGTATTCAGCACTAAAATAAAAAGAGTTTCATCAGAGACAAATAGAGTTGGATAGTATACAGGTATCAAATCATCACTGCTAATGAACCAACAATTATTATATCTCTCTGTGACAAATGAACAGTCTGAGACTCTAAACGACCGTTTCAATATAAACCAGTTAAATCTAGAACTAGACAAAACCCTGACACACTGCTCTTCTAACTATGTTCTCCTCAATCGATGCCATTCATAGAGTAATGTACTCACAGAATATCCCTGCCGCACAGAGCGATGTGTGTCCCATCCTCACATGCAGCACTCTGACACTCTGTCGCTCTGCTTCTGAGTTGGTTGAGCGTAAGACGAAAGTATACTCTGGGTTCAACCAGAAAAACTTTACACTTCCTGCACAGTCGCAGACAGAGGCGGCTGTGCCACGTAGGTAACGAGAAGTTATTGGAGAAAAATGAAAAATAAACCATTTAACAGATTCATATCATGTCATTGTATGTTTTGTTTATTTCTGTGTAATATTTTACACCAATCAGCCACATCGTCAAAACCACTGACAGGTGAAGTGAATGACACTGATTATCTCGTTAAAATGGCACCTGTCATGGGGTGGGATATATTAGGCAGCAAAGCCAACAGTCGGTTCTTGATGTTGATGTGTTGGAAGCAGGAGAAACAGGTAAGTGTAAGGATCTGAGCGACTTTGATAGGCGCCAAATGGTCATGACTAGGGGACTAGGTCAGAGCCTCTCCACAATGGCAGGTGGTCAGTACCTGCCGAAAGTCGTCCAAGGAAGGACAACTGGTGTACCGGCGACAGGGTCGTGGGTGCCAGAGGCTCATTGATGCACGTGTGGAGCGAAGGCCGGCCCATCGGGTTCAGTCCCACAGAAGAGCTACTGTAGCACAAACTGCTGAAACCCACAATGCTGCATATGACCGAGAGCTGCCAGAACACACAGTGCATCGCAGTTTGCTGCAAACACCAACAGCAAGAGGTTTTATCAGTTACACGAGAAATGAAGAGTGATGCTTCGTTGACAGAAAACCAGAGGACAGCGTTGAAGGCTTTTCCCAATGGAAAAGATGTTTTCATGCTTCTCTCGGCTTAGGCAAGAGTTTGATTCACCAACTGCCTCCACCGGTAGTGAACATCATGTGGTTCGATGATCTGATTTGCTGCTCGTGATGGACTGTGATAGATGGTTCATCCATCACCTGACAAGTCATTTTTGAATTCGCCTGCCTTTTTCCAGTTTCCAATGGAGCCTTCACACATGGTGTGTGAGGTTGAGTTAAAACCTCTACCCTGTGAAGTGCCACAGTTTGATTTATAAGGCTACTGATATGCAGCATTGCATTATCTCAGACAGAGAACTCAAGTCTGTTGAGCTGTCAGCTCCCTATAGTCATACAAGTCCAGAGTGCATGAATGCACTAAAAGAGCACGTTCATTGAACACACTGATGTTTGTGGTGAACGATGAAGGGAACGTATCCATTAGCAACTCAAGAACTTGAACGAGCATTCACGGACCAGACAGTAACAGTCTCGCATCAAGAAGCTAAAAATAAAACATCCGAAGAAGAACCGTGTTTCATGATGGTTCCCCGCATGTGTCCGGCATGTCTAGTGCTGGCAATTCAAACAACGCAGCTACCTTTATGTTGTACATTGTTTATCTTTGATATTAAAAGTAATCCCGGCCTATAGTAGTAAACAGTAATTCATTTAGTTTAGGAAGAGGCAATGATTCGGGGCTCTTGTGAAGTGAACTTGCACTGCACTGCAATCCTTAAAACCTGACATGTGTCACATTAACCAAAACACTCTATAGATGTCCCCAGTTTCCGATCTAGACGAAGACATCCTGCCCTCACAAGACAATGACATGCATACTGCAGAAACTGCAATAAAGAAAGTTGGGGGTCACAAAATGTCACAGCAACCCAAGACACAACAATAAATGTTCCCATGTCGGTAAAAGTTTTGGTTTCAGTTTTACTTAGTCACAACTTCCCCCACAGGAAAGAACAACTTGAGAATTGAGTACAATACGAATTCTCCGACACCAAGGTGAGAGCTTGGTCTTTCTAGATCTTTTATCCCACCCACTCCTTTGTTCTCAATATTATGAGCAATAATATAATAAATGATCACTCACATAAACACTCAACAACTACACTGAATCTCTGGTGGTACCAGTTTAGCAAAACAAATTTGATAGTGAGTGTCACCATGATAGGATTTAAACATGCATAACATTATGTTCCACATGGGCAAATTTTATAAATAACATTTGAGTATAACAATTAATATTGTACAGTCATATTACAAGGCAAACATATCAGAAACAGACATTTTAATTTCAAAGCTGTAACCTATGACCTAACCATATGAATGATATGTAGTTCACTTGCTGTGTTTTGCCACAAGCTCGGTGCAAAGTGCTTTTGGATGGAAATATGGTTTTTACAGAGGAGGATCTTTGGTGTAACCACAGGCAAAGACTCACAGAGGAGCCGACGCCCAGGCTGTCGCAAAGCTCAAGAACAGGTCTTGCAGACGAGAGCAGCAAGATGATAAGCTTCATCCAAATGTCGTCAGGAGGCGGGTTCAAATCCAAAATAAAAAATAAGCAAACATTCTCAAAATTCATTATAGTGATAAAGAAACAGTCATAGTAACATCTCTCAACAAACACTGCACAGTAGCCTATGTACAGTCTGGAAAGGTAGCCTGTGTTTTGGTCTTAAGTCTCAATGATCATTGTGAAACTGTGACAAAGTTTTTTTGCACTGCATACCCTGCCCTGTTGTTCGGTTAGTGTGCAGGGGGTCGTCAAACCTTTGTTGCTAAAAACAGCTTCATGCTGCAGCTGAAATGGTGCCACTGTATGAATGAACCAAAACAGCAGAGTACAGCAGAAAGTACCTCAGGACTGTTTCACTGCACCTGTAGCTGATGTAACGACTCGAATTAACTTCTTCAATTTTGGCACAAACGTTCACTCGGAGTCAAAGACGAACTCATTAGGTTTTTGTGGTCAAAGGTCAATGGTTAAGGTCACGGTGACCTCAGAAAACATCTTGGCATGGTGAATGCAAAACCTCAGGAACTCTTCGAGGGAATCCCTTGACATTTGGCACAAATGTTCACTGGGACTCAAGGATGAACCAAGTAGATTTTGGTGGTCAAGGGTAAAAAGTCAAGGTCAATGTGACCACAGAAAACACTTTTTAGCCATAAATCAAGACTTCACACAACAATTATACGTTTATCTGGCTGGTTTTGTTGCTGAAGCCACATTTGCCTCCTGACATGTTTGGTTTGTTGTTGTCTGTTTATATCCTGTCTGACTATAAAGTAAAGTGTCGTTTAACTACGACTGTTCGAATTCCTGCCGCTTTATATCTTAGTTCAAGCAAGCCTAGACGACAAATGAGTGGCTAGCACATTCACTTAGATATTCATAAATTTGAAATATAATTCAATAAAAAAATATATTTACTAAATATTAATAAATGAAACTGGCTGTGTAAGCAAAACCACGTAGAACAGAAACACTACTGTGAACTTGCTGCTGGAACAAATATTTATTGATGCATAAAGGATCAACTGAACTTCCACCTGAACATCCAGGTGAAAAGAAGCCACATGTAGTACCTAGCAATTCATTTTTAGGAAGACGGAAAAAACAGGATGTGTTGTTGGATAAGAGTTTATCGTATACAATAAATTAAATGTTATAAACATGTACAGCTTGTAAACACTGTAACAGATGCTGACTTTACCACCTTGGTACTGAAGCTCTAAAATGTTACTTTTTGCTGCTGCTGCCTACAACAGCTTTAAAACATTAAGTGACAACATACAGTGCACAGATATTAAAAGGGCGTATTATATTATATTATATTAAATGATATGTTGTCTTTTCACCAAGTAAAATGGATTAAGTTCATATTATGTCTTTGCCATTACATAACCTGTACAAATTAAAGTTTTATATTTGGATAGCAGAGTTGCACAGAAGGGTTTCAGTACATAAAAGCTGAAAATATTTCCTAATTAAAGATGTCGTTTTCATGTTGTCACACATTCCAGCGGTTTTGTCGATCTCTTTATTGATCTGCAAGAAAACCGAAGGAAAAAAGAGATTGTGATGTCACTCAAAAATTAAGGGCGATCTCTGTCATTTCACGCGCATTATTTAACCCGTATGCATGTTATGTTATTGCTGCATTATTACCATGAGCTGGTCCAACTTTGATTTGAGAATAAACTGTTTTATCAGCTGCTGCAGGAGCTGATCTTCCTACGAAAAGAGAGATGATTCGATTGAAATGTTTCTCCAGTAATGTCTCAATTTACACTGCTAATGTACCGGTTCATACTGTTTTCTTCAGCGATACAAACATAATGTAAAACAAACAAACAAAACGCAAGAGAGAATATGTCACAGGTTGCAATATTAGCTGCAGTAAGATGAAATGATTTGATAGTGGGAATTGCAAATAATGATAATGAGCATGTGAAGAAATCATATAAAGTTCAACAAGCAGAAAAAATAAAAACTACCATTTTACAAACACTGAAAAATCATAATTGTCTTGGATGAACAGAAATCACATTACACTGTTTTCAAGCTTTACCTTTTTTGTGGAAGACCAGCTGGGCATACATGAGTTTGTCATCTGAAACAGAAGCCGTGTTTCAGGTTATACAGATGGATGGATGGACAAAGATAAATAGCATGTGGCATGGCCTCATGTCTATGTAAATGCCAGCACAGCAGAACAGTGATGAAAACAAAAACAGCTCAGGTATTTTCTATTTACCGCATGTTTTTCTTACTCACCGTTTTTAGCAACATTTTCAAGCTTGATTACAGAATCTGCGACATCGCTGGATTCATCTGAAATGAACATATTATTTAAACATCAGAGATTGTCAATTATCAATCATTTACAATCCCCTTAAATCATTGTATTCTAGTATTTCTAATTAGTCCTAATTGGTGATGAAATGAATCAGGATTATGGCTGACCATGGAGAGGAGAAGTGTATTTCTTACAGTGAGTTTCATCCTGTTTCATCATGTGGTCTGTAGCAGAGCTCTGATTGGTGCTCTGAGACCTGGCAAGACCCCAACAGATATAATAAATTGAATATATTTAATGGGGAACCTGTAATGTAGTTGTTATGCTCAAAATAAGAGAAATGTTGTACCAACCTGATAAAGCATGAATCTGTGGAAAAGACATTTGCTGTTACATGGTTTTGTATTGCAAATTGCTCTATTGTTGATACGGCACGTAATTACATCTGAATACATTTGTCTGTCGACTAATTAGAGTGTAATCAAATATCAGAAGGGAAAGATCTCACTTTTTGTCTTTCTGTAGCGAAACAGCAGCAGCAGGAGAAGGATCAGTAAAAGTCCACAAACCAACCCAACAATCAGCGGCACAGGAAACCAAGAGTCTTCAGGTCTGGACACTGCTATAATGAATTATCTATATTATTTATGTGACTCTTCTCAGAGAGAGTTTCCATAGTGCTTTACAAAGACAGTGTCAAGGTCACGTCAAGTCTTAGCAACAAAACTCCAAGATTAAGAAACAATGACGTGTGTTAACCATGAGCTTCCTTTTCATTAATAAAAACCATAATATAAAAACCCATTTCTCACTCACAAACTAAAAAGTTAACTGTAGCACAACTTACTAAACAACTGCTGAAGAAACTGTTTTAACCATACTCACATTTCACTGACATCCAACTCTCTGGTGACGTGCTGCTCCGCAAAGTCCGCAGTGAAGTTTCTCCTTTACATTTATAAAAGCCTTCATGTGACTTTGACACTGCGGGGATGGTCAGCTCCCGCCTGGTGTCGTTTTGGATGAGTTTGTCATTTTTATAGAAAAACACATTAGAAAGGACATTTTCTGGCCGCAGCTTGCAGCTGAGGGTGACGGATGCTCCCTCAGCCACAGGATGGACAGGGCTCACCAGGATAATATATGTATCTGTGAAACGGTCAAAAATGATGGAGTTCAGAGATCGGCTCTTTCAAGTTGATTTATATAGATTAGAGATCACACTTGCAATCTTTTCTAACTTTAGAGTCAGCAGACATTGACCTGACATTTGGCTTGTACACCTACATCTTAATAGTGTCAAAGGGAGTGAGTGAAGCCACCAGTACTTTTAAAAACAACATGCAGTATTCCACTTTAAGACACTTTACTTTCACATTATAAACTGAACCTAGACAGAATCTACAGGACACAGAATAAATTACACGAAGCAAGAAAAACAAATGATTAAAACTCGACCTGCAGTGATGTTGACTGCATTGCTGAACTCTCCAGATCCAGACTCACACCAGTACACTGCATCAGCGTACTGCAAACTATGAATGTTGCATATTGATCCGGTCATTATCCCCCAGTCAGAGCAGGACAGGTAGTAACTCTCAGGTAACCTCATCACTCTCCACTCAGTAGAGTTTCCCTCACAGCTCAGTGAGACAGAGTCAGAGGTGAAGTGCTGCGCTCTGTCAGGACTCACTGTGAGAGACGCTGATGGACGAACATCTGAAGAACAAACACAGGAAGAAAGGTCAAAAAACACAATGAAAATAATCCTTTAGGTTTATTGTGTTTTTTAATCTTGTATTCTTGAGGATAAAACGAAACAGTGTTGAACCAGGGCAAACAAGAATGTGCATACATAATATAAGCACAGGGTTGATATACTATACATTCCTGCCAACTGCAGGGGGCAGTAATGCACCCTGAAAAGTTGCCCCAACAAAAGAAGACAAAGGACCTGGAGCTAAAGACGCAGGTTTAGAAATGGTTGAATGTAAATGAGGCTGTGTGTTTGGTGTTTTTCGTAGTTTTGTCTGAAGCAAGTTACCGTTACCAGATTTGACAAATACTTGATTGATTGATGCTCAAAGTGCTTTGCACATATTCCTATTAGTTCACAACCCAGTCTACCTCCTGAGCTACAGTCGCTCTACAATGTGCACTGAAGATAAAAAGTCAACATGGTTTTTAGTTTTTAAGACACGTTTGTTAGAAACTGGAAAGACCAAAGTGAACAGAAAGGGCGGGAAACCAAAAAACAAACATTCAAACTGACCTCCAGATGAACGGGGCAATGCTCAGGCCCTATCCATGTGTTGGGAAACTAAATGTCTGGGCTGATGACACCTGCCCCTATAAAGAAAGAAAAGACACTAACAAACTCACCTCCAGACCAGACAAACTTTAGTTCACTAGTCTCAGTGTAAATCACTGGGTTTCCTCTTCCAGCCTTACACACATATCCTGCTGTGTGTGTCTGACCATGGACGATGTAGGAATCCTGTTCAGTCCCACTGCTGCTTCCAGGGAGCAGCTCGTAGCTGTAGGAGTGGTAGTAATCAAAATCTATCCAGCGTCCACGTATAGAGTGGTAGCGGTTATACATGTTGCTTTTGGACAATCTGGGAACAGCCTTGTACCAGTAGAACCTCCATCCTGCAGATGGATGTTCAACCTCACACTTCAGAGTTACTGAGGCTCCAGGACTCAGCCATGATGGAGACACAGTGAGGACAGGCCGCGGTTTATCTGGTGAGTTTCCCACATTGTAAACACGTTAGTATGTTTTGTTGGTGGATTACATACAATGTTTTTATCCTGCATAGTGTATATATGATTTCTCTATTTCTGTCCATCCTCTACATCTACATTATAACAGAAATGTGAATGTGTACTCTACAATATAAATGATTTCAGCGGAGATTAATAATGACTGATGAGATATGATGCGACTTACTGTCAGATACTGTCAAACTGAAGGAATCACTCCACTTTGTTGAAAACTGTTGTGCACTTTTCATCCTGCCCCTACACCTGTAGTCTCCACTGTGGGATGATGAAGCAGAACTAATCCTGTATTCATGTTGACCTGAAGGTTTGAGTGATCTGGGTGTTTCCCATTCATACGTCCACTCAGTGTCACTCAGTTTACTTTGATCTATTGGAGTAAATCTGTGTATCACACACTACAGGTTCTCTGAATGATATTACTCCAGAACCTGCAGTATGCTGACAACCCCAGTTTGTACCTTCTGTATGTTGACACGCCAGGAGATGAAAGCATAACAAATGTATGACTTACGTGATACTGTTATTGTGATGCCTTTACTCCACTCTGTTGAAGAATCCCGGTCCCCTCTGTGTGCACCCCTACACGTGTAGCTCCCGCTGCAGGACAGAGACGCATTGATGCTCCTGTAATTAACGTATGTCCATGGTGTGCTCGACACGGGTGTTCTCCATTCATACTCCCACTCAATGTCTCCTCCTCCCTCGATCTCACATCTGAGAGTGATCGTCTCACCGCTGAAAATCTGACGCCAGCTGGGTTGCAGAGTCAAAGTGACCTTGTTGGAAACTGTTGACACCAGAAATATAAAATCAACAAAGAAGGTTTTAAAATTGTAATCAGGAACGCATGTCGTTTTATTCCAAATAGAATCATTGAACTCACACGTTATCTTAATGGGGACCACATCACTTGCATGAGTGTAGACGACTGGATTTCCTCGACCTCCGGTGCACCAGTAGTTGCCTCCTTGTGAGATATTGACCTCTCTGTTTTGATCACCATATCTCATGGTCAGATCTTCATAAGACCCTGAGGTTTGTCTGGACCAGTAATATTTCCATTCAGCAGAGCCGTCCACAGAGCAGGTCAGTGTCACGCTGCCTCCTGCTGGTATGGTTGTTGTGCCTGGCAGCAGTATGGCCTTGGGTTTATCTCCCATTATAAGAAACAAAATCATGTTAATTATCAAACGAATAGGACAGTATATGACACACCACATCAATCCGGTATTTGGTTTTCACAAGGGAAACATTTCCTTAATTTTGTGGTAATTCTTGAAAGGCCACAAATAATGATGTGGAGCGCTCAGCCGTGTACTTCTTCTCCTTTTTTTTAAAATTTTATTTCTGATTATTTTATCCACATTAGCTGATGTTTAACAGCAAATGGTCATTCTGGATTACACTGTCTGCTGAGCTTTTAAAAGACTGGCACCATATTTTTCTGTGAGGAAAGTAACAGGGAAAAATACAGAGGTCCTGGTCAAAGTTTCAAGATTCAGGGTATTTTAAAAATGTTTACAACATATGATTGAAAATACAGTTAGACTTATACTGTTACTAGACTTTACACAACTCGGGCAATCATATGAGCTGGGCTCCTGCATAAGTGCTAATGGTCATGGGAAAGTTTTATGGTGATAAAACATTGATGACTCACCTGATACAGTCAAAGAGATGATGTTACTGCGTTTTATTTCATAAGTGCGCCTGTGGCGAGCAAAGCACTGGTATTTACTACTGTAGCCTGTCCAGAGATGTAATGTGTAGCGTTTATAGGAATTGTACTGAACAAATTCCCAGCTATCCTTCTTGATTTGGTATTCCCAGTCTGTTTCCTCTACTTCCTGCGTGTCACATATTAAGGTAACAGATTCTCCAGTGAAGAAAGTGGACCAGTTGGGCTCAAGGGTCAGCACAGCATCTAGAACACAACACGGACATTCATACAACACTACACAGTTAGCAACATAAAATATCTACTATTCTAGTCACAATCTATTTGTTTGTGTGGATGCATAGATTGACAAAATGAATACACTGACAACAGAGAGAAAAAGCAACAGAAAGTGCTTAAAGTGATGCAGTAAGTGGACATTCATCTTAAGTGAGAACAGAAAAAGAAAAGAAAGAAAACTGAGAAATTACCTTCAGCATGTCCAGAGTAGAGGAGAGTGATCAGCACTGAAATAATGGACATTATCGGAAAAACAGAAACCATCAATGAACAATAACCAAAGCAAATAGCAGAGCTTGCATCAATGGCATGATTTCAAGTACTTTCAGGAAAACTGAATGAACCTCCGGAAGTCTTTTCTTCCCACGTTTTCCTCAATCTACATCAATACTCACAGAACAACCCGAGCACACAGGGTGAAATCTGTCCCATCCTCACATCCAGCACCGTCACGCTGAGAAGTTCCTCTGCGTTGTAAAGAGAAAGCTTGAAACTGAAGCAAATGAATAGAAGCCAGGGACTGTGAAGAAACAGAAGTTACAGTTCATATGAATATTCCACGGGTTGTTTTTTTTTTACCAACTTCTTCTTCTTCTTCCGAGTTAAACTTGCCTTCGCTTCCTTCCCTTTTACTCAAAGCTGACACAACTAAAGACTGTACTTACACTTCTTCTTCTGTCACTGCACAAACAGACGAGTTTAAATTTAATGCAAAGGAATCAAAGCATCTCATAAAAATACCTGCCATTTTACCTTCAGCATTTTCTATTGTGTCGCTTTGTGAATTTGATACTTTATAAGCAGACGCTCCTCGCGTCCATAGTGCCTGTATTGTGCTTGTGTAATGAGTACACATCTTTGCATGCATATACACAACATCCATGCTTTTGATCAATCGAATTTTAACTCTAATGGTAAGAGACAGCTATAAAGTTCACAATGAATGTGTTTGAGCTTTTTCACATTAGATTACATCATCACTTATGGTGGACGAGCTTCGAGTATGACCAGCTCTTAACTGGGTCAGAGTTTAGCAGATATTGTGCGATTGCTGAAGTTTAAAACTGCCCGTGAAAATTGCTGAAAAGTAATAGGTAGGTGGAATGATTCGTGAGGCTGCATGGAGAGAGTCATTTCTCTTCCCTTCCTGTCATCCTGAAGGCTACTGTGGCCTCGCAAAGTATTGGCAATTCCTGATACTGCTGTAAAAAATATATAAAATAAACACAATAGTGCTGGAAGTCCACTGGTTCCCTCACACAACGGTGAAGATTTTATCTGGAAATATGTTCATTCTTCAGCTGAAATCATAAAGTGGAGTTTCAGTATAGTAAAAGAAGTATTCTGTTACCCCACCACGGACTCTCTTCACATTACGGGGAAATTCTTGTTTCAAACTTGGTCACAGCCTCTCTTACAGGAAGTGACTGAGCTCGAGCAAATAGTCTCATGAACAGCAGAGAGTGTGAAAAGCTGAAGTCCTGCCCCTAATTGTTCAAATTGTTCTGTCCAGTACAATAGTGGATTCACATTTCATTTAAAATACACAGACCGCCTGCAGGATTAAGTTTTAACTTTTCAGACAGACTGATTAAATAAACCCTGTATGAGAATTCAAATGTATTACTAGTTAATACTTAAAGGGGACAGGAGCACCTAGCTACTTTTCTTTTCTTCATTTAATGTTAAATTTGCAAATTGTAACAAAAATATGAGAATAAATATTGACAAAACAATTCAGCCATCTTGGTGGTATTTTATTGAGAAAAGCTGGATCACACTCACATTATGTCAAACAGGTTAAACTCACAAAACACTGCATCTCTGATATCTGGATAGCAATGATACACAACAGATGATTAAATACTGCAAACACTCACATAATCCTCAGCGTTGGAACCTCATATATCATCATTTCCTTTAGATAAAACATCCAAATGCATCTTTACTGTTTTCACAGCTACAATGTACAAGCATGGAAGCATCATATTAGCGCAGCATCAACGTGACATTAAACGTTGTACAAGAGCAACTGCAGTAGGCTTTATCTATCATCTCACACTTAATGACTTTAAAACTGCACAATAACTTGAGTACTAAAGCTGAAATATAATGTATCAAACTGCTAATTGTTGCTGTTTTTTGGAAAAGCCTGCATTCAAAGTTTCCTACTAAAAAGTTACAAATAAATGACAAAATAAACTGTTAAAAACTTAAAAAAAATACAATAACAATAAAAATAATAACACCACTCATAAATATTAAATGTGAAAACACCTCGGAGCTCTTATGCCTTGTGCTAAAATAGTATTAAACCCATTTATTTACGTAATCTATTAACAAATTAACAGTAAAAAATAGTGAGCATGTCTGATATTTGGAAAGCAGAGGTGCTCACAATGGTTTCAGAAGATACTGTCAACCATATTACTTTGGTTTTGATGATGCAGCTTTCTTTACAGACCTGGAAGAAAAACACAAGAGAAAAAAGACACAGGGTTATCCAAGACGTAAAGCTGAGTTATAACTCCTAAAATCAGCACAATATTCAAATGACATGGCAGCATTATTACCAAAAGATGTTCCTTGTCCTTCCACTTCAGAGTAAAGAGTCTCATCAGTTGCAGCAGGAGTTGATTTTCCTGTCAACGGAGAGATGATTAGATTGAGACAGTTGCCAAAGATAAAGTGCTGAACTGACAGTTTGATTGTCGCTTCGAGTAAGACAAAGGTTTATCAAAGATGTAAAGCTGCTTTCTGACATGCTGTCGTGTGTTGCAACTCATAAAATCAGCATAATATTCAAATAGCATGGCAGCATTATTACCAAAAGATGTTCCTTGTACTTCCACTTCAGAGTAAAGAGTCTCATCAGTTGCAGCAGGAGTTGATTTTCCTGTGAAAGGAGAGATGATTACATCGAGACCGTTGAAGGTGAAGTACTGAACTGACAGGTAGATTGTCAGGGTTAACATCTCCACTAAGTAAAATGACAGTATTGTAATGCCCCTTGTGCTGAAACTAACCAGGTAGAGTAATATGGCTTTTACAGAGTTCACTGATGTAGTGGAAATGTAAGTAAACAGTTGTTCAGCACGAATATGAAACATGAAATAAACACACCATACATTACTAAAGAGACACTCACTAAGAAAAAAAAGTAATTACCACAGCAACTACTTTACCAATATTAAACACACAGCACACATCACACCGTGTCCAAGGCCAACATGTTGGAAAATACAAATGCAGGTGAATGAAGACTTTACTAACCTTTCTTTTTCTTGGCTGTTCCTTTGCTGATGATGTTGACCTCGGCGTACATGGGACTATTGTCTAAAACAGAAGCCAGATCTCTATAATACACAGCTGATGGATTTACAAGTAGAGAGACAGTGCGAGAAATACGGGATGCTTATGCTTCTGTGTCGCATAAGATACTGAAATAAAAACATTTTAATTATCAATGTTTGTGCCACCTCATTTATGGAAGACAAAAAGGAGAAGGTGGAGGGGGAATTTCCACATATAAGCAACAGTATTTCATAATCTGCAACAGTGTGACCAGAGAGTGAAAATATAAAAGACAAAATCCGTTTTCTTCCATATCTGTGAGATGGAAATATACTGGAAAGTAATGCCACGCAACACACAGTGACAATCACACACTGTAGATGCAACAATACACAATCTGAGCATACCTGTTCCTATCTTCAAATCAGAGTAAACGGAGGTCTCAGCTGCTTCAAGGTGCTTCTCTGTTAAGAGGAATTTAGAAAAGAAAAGAACTATATTTTTTTAGGCACTGCAGGTCAAAAACTCTTTCTTTGTTTTCTACATTTGGAGTACTTACTCTTCTTTCTAATGTTTTTAAGTTCAACAGAAGAATACGTCACATCCTGGGATTCACCTGCAGGTAAAATAAACATATTTTTGAGTTAAAGGATTTTATATCAAACGCCTGTAGTGTTGTATTTGTAACTGTCTCACGTTAATCAAAAGGTAAATACTGTACCATTGTCAGCATCTTCAGAGTCTCTGATTGTGTCATAGAGACAAGTATCACCTACAGTAACAGAGCAAGCTGAGGTCAGAATAATCCTTTTACCTCCAATATACAAAACAAATATCACATTTTTAACAAAAATCCACAGTTAGTTTTTTGTTTGTTGATTTGTGTTTAAGGTGAATAATATTTGTGGATTCTATCCGTCTTGAAGTTTAGGTTCAGTTCGAGTAGAATCAGTGTAAAATACTCTGATCTGTTGTGGATGTGGCCAACGGATTATTTGACAAAACTGTCTTGTGGACTTCAACTTATGATTAACATTCATCTGATCCGAAACTGAGTGTGAGAAATTTTAATGAAGAGTCCATGAAAAGGAAAAAAAAAAGAAAAGTAAATAAAATGTCAACCATTTAGAGGAGAGGCGTGTTCATTACGTTGAATTTCATTCTGGTGAACTCCATAACTTGCAGTTGAGCTGGTGCTCTGTGACTGGATCGGCCTGAAACATGTAATAAATACAGTAAATTTAACACAGAAGAAGAATGTACTGCTGTTGCATTTCAGACTGGAGAAGAGCGTGTTGCACTGACCTGATGAAGCGTGAATCTGTGAAAGAGACATTTGATGTTAGATGATTTTTCTGATTGTAAATTGTTCTACTGCTATTTTATGTGGTGAGAACAGGGTGCTTCTATTTATTTGAATAATTAAAGAGTAAGTAAACCATTTAATGTCAGCGGGAAAATGCCTCACCCTTGGACTGTCTGAAGCGAAACAACAGGAGCAGGAGAAGAACAAGAACGACTCCACAAACCAGCAGAACGATCAGCCACACGGGAAATGAAGAGCTTTCAGGTCTTGGCACAGCTATTGTGAATATAAAGTGTTAATTAAATGTTAACAGTATTGATACACCTCTTCTTAACAGAATTGATAAAGGCATTTCATAAAAATGAAAGACAGGTGGCTACAAGCCTTAGGAAAAACAAAACTTTAAAAAATACATCAGCAGCACATACACATGAATACACTATATGTTGACAGTGTTCCTTTGTCAGAGCAACACACTTCACAAAATACAAAAGGAATCAAATATTTTAATCCTACTCACCTTTAACTGACATCCAACTCTGTGCTGACACTCGTCCTGAGGACTGACACTTGTAGAAACCTTCATCTGACTGTGACACTGCAGAGATATTCAGCTCCACTCTGGAACCATTTTGGATGAGTTTGTCATTCTGATAGAAAAACACACTGGAAAGATGTTCTGTCTTCAGTTTACAGCCAAGAGTGACAGACTCTCCCTCAGTCACAGGACGGACGGGGCTCAGCAGGATAATACCATGAGTATAATAATCTGTAACAGTCAGAATATGAAGTTTCAGTCAGAGATCAGCTGGTGCCGAGCTTTAGAACCAGCTGACAGACATGATGAGAATGGATTAATTATATGCTTTTATTCTTATTCACTGCTGATTTATTTTACAGGATGATCATAAGACCTGACATTTGATCTTGTTTACTTACAACCTGCTGTGTGTGTTTTACAGAACCTGTTGCCAAATAAACAACAGCTTTTTACATTGTCCTGTAAATTCTACTGTAGTTGTTTCCTTCAGATCAGCTGTCAACATACAAGACCGACACTAAACCAAAGCCTCATCATGATGAGAGGCAACATGTGACAGGATGAGAGGAAAGATGTGACTATGATGATGTTGATGTGATGTTTAGTTGCAGCCACAGATGAGAAGCCAAGTTGTGGCTCATTAGCTCAAGAGAGAATGGAGACGTAATTAATATGTGCTCATCAATATTATTTAAATTAACACCATTTATTATTTTTTATATGATAGTCTGAAGGAAAAAACTAAACTAAACTATCGAATGTTTTCAGTGGCTTGTTACAGGAAAGAAATTTCACTTAGTACTTTGCAAGGAGGAAGATATTTACTGTGGCCAGAATTTGGACGTGATTTGTTTTGTGAAGAGATGAAGTGAGTGAAGTGAGACCTGCCACCAACATCATGGTGCTGCTAAATAATGAAGAAGACTGACTGAACATTGACATTTCATTTTCATTCAGTAACAACATATTTATGTGAAGTGTACAGGACATGGAGGAAATGAGTGTCTTTGTTTGGTAACATATAATTAATGATTAAAACCATGTAACGGACCGAACTCTCCAAGGAACTATATATGTAACAACTCAATTCTAAGACGTGATCAATTAACTCACATGAGACTTTGACAATAATTCAAATTCCAGAAAAAGTGAAATAGAGAGAAAATGCAGTGAAGCGTACTCTGTACAGTGATGTTGACTGTGTTGCTGAACTCTCCTGATCCAGACTCACACCAGTACACTGCATTACTGGGCCCATAACTGTAAATGTTACATGTGGATCCGGTCATTCTCCCCCAGTCAGAGCAGTGTGACAGGTAGTTACTCTCATCAAACCTCCTCACTCTCCACTCAGTAGAGTTTCCCTCACAGCTCAGTGAGACAGAGTCAGAGTTGAAGTGCTGCGCTCTGTCAGGACTCACTGTGAGAGACGCTGATGGACGAACATCTGAAGAACAAACACAGAAAAGGGTCAAAGCAGCAACAGAGATATGAACATTAAAAACAGCTCAGTGTAAATATTCCTTTGTTCATCTTTTGTTTGGTGAGTGTTAGAAACATCAGCAGCACCAACACTGAAACAAGATGCAGAGTTTGGAACAAACAGCACATGGACAGACAGCAGAGAAATGAATGATGCTGCTGAGCGGTTCCAGGTGTTTCCATGGATGTTTTTCTACACTTGTTACCTGCTGAAGTCTTTTGTTGTTATTCATTTATTAATCTGTCTGTGCACCTGCCTGACCACTGACTCAACTCTCCAGCTGCACTTGTCCTGTCTGCTGGGGGAGTAAAAGCAATGGAGAATAAACATTAAGATGAGCTCAAGTATCCAAAATAAAAGAACACATTGAGGAAAGTGGAGCTGCACTTCAATGAGAGGTGGAAACCTTGTATCTCTGTGTTTGTTTGTGGCTTTGATGCTTTCAGATTAACTGAAGAAGGATAAGGGAAGGACAGAAGGAAACAAGGAGATGAGGATATTCAACCCAGTTCCACAATCAGTCCATTTCTTCCACTGGGGACCATGAATGTAAAAATACATTTCTTTACCAACATGAATATTTGTTTTTAGGAAATGTTGCTCAGACAAAAACACATGGATGAATTCAGGTAATGACTGAACATTGAAACAACAAACTCACCTCCAGACCAGACAAACTTTGTTCTACTAGTCTCAGTGTAAATCACTGGGTCTCCTCTTCCAGCCTTACACACATATCCTGCTGTGTGTGTCTGACCATGGACGATGTAGGAATCCTGTTCAGTCCCAATGCTGCTTCCAGGGAGCAGCTCATAGCTGTAGGAGCGCTGTGATCCATCAGGAACAGCCTTGTACCAGTAGAACCTCCATCCTGCAGATGGATGTTCAACCTCACACTTCAGAGTTACTGAGGCTCCAGGACTCAGCCATGATGGAGACCCAGTGAGGACAGGCCGGGGTTTATCTGTTGGAAAGTTATTTTCTCAGAATGAAATCATGTTATGACATTATCCCTAAACACATGAGGTGTTTAGATTTTCAGTTTACATGAAATATGATCAGACTTACTGTCATACACTGTCAATTTGACTGAATCACTCCACTCTGTTGTATTATGTTGTGCACTTTTCATCCTGCCCCTACACCTGTAGTCTCCACTGTGGGATGATGAAGCAGAACTAATCCTGTATTCATGTTGATTTGAAGGTTTGAGTGAGATGTTAGTTTCCCATTCATACGTCCACTCAGTGTCTCCTCCTCCCTGGATCTCACAGCTGACAGTGATCGTCTCTCCTCTGTATATCTCAGTCCAGTTTGGTTGCAGAGTCACAACAGCCGTGTTTGAGACTGTTCATGTTCAAGGATTTACAATAAGAACATAAAAATATAAAAAGTTTCAATTAACATTAGATTTTTTTTTTATCTCAATCTTAATGATGCATCATGAATACACAATAGACTTCTTCTTCTACATTGTGCGTTTATTTCCAAACTCACCAATGGTGTCAATCCTAACAGCCTGACTGAAGTGTGTGTAGTAAACTGGGTCTCCTCTTCCTCCTCTGCACCAGTAGAGTCCTTCCTGTGAGACACTGGTTGTTCCAGTTGTCTGGGAAACAGCATCATGTCTGTTCAGAGGTTCAGAGAGTTTCTTCTCTCTGTACCAGTAGTATTTCCAACCAGATGATGGGTTCACAGAGCAGGTCAGAGTCACTCTGCCCCCTGCTGGTAGGACTGTGCTGTCTGCTGTCAGTGAGGCCTGGGGTTTATTGGCTGTTTAGTTCACAGTGAAAAACAAAACAAGTCAATGGTTAAAATAGGATTTGTTCCCTGTTACCTTGTTTCATAAACTCTGAGCAGACTTAAAACACTGACAGTTATTACAGGTGGATTCACTGAAACTGATTTCACCCAACTCACATGCAACCTGACAACCTGACACCTCTAGGGATTAATGATGGAAATAAATAAATGAATAAATCAACATCTCAGCCAAAACAACTGAATCAACTGCATCATAACTCACTTCTGCTACAAAGAAAACTACATGTGTACAGCCAAAAAACACACTTTCATTTTTGAGGGATGTCAGTGGAAACTGTGGACTCATTAAACAACCACAGGTCATTTTATTCTTCATGTATCAGAACTGTATAGTGCTTAAGAAGTTACTCTGATGTCACAGTAAAAAGCTCATTTTCATTCCTTTGTTACTAAAGTAAAAAACATTTTTCACTGAGTGGCTGAACAGAGCTACAATGATGTCTGAAATGTTCTTGTTGTTTTATTTAGACGGAAGAGATTTTAAAAATAGGAAAACAAAATTTTTGTATAAATGAAAGATGTTCAACTCACGTGATACTGTCAATCTCAGGACCCGACTCCACTCTGTTAAGGAATAGTCTCTTCTACCTCTACACCTGTAGTCACCACTGTGAGACTCAGTAACTCTGCTGATAGTGTATTCACTGTGTGATGGAGGATTGTTTGAGCTGGGTGTTCTCCATTCATACGTCCACCCAGTGTCTCCACCTCCATCGATCTCACATCTGACAGTGATCTTCTCTCCTCTGTATATCACAGACCAGTTGGGCTGCAGGGTCACAGTGACCCTACATGAAACTGTTGACAGAAATACACAGTGAGAAAACAACTAAATTTATAAAACTCAAATGAAAATCATAGCAGTTAGTATCACTATTTCTAATGTAGTTTGAATTTTGTAGCAGTTTAATGAACAATACAAACATGATTCAATGGCCATAAAAACAAAAACACAGGTGAAAAACAAAAGTATGAAAACATTAAAAAAAGCCATGAATTTCCAAAATGGACTAAGTGCCGAGTGTGAACCAACAAACGTATCAGGTCAGAAACAATTTCATCAACAAAAAAAAACTAACATGTTTGTCAAAATGGATTCATAAAACTCAAAACATTTTGTTAACAATATACAAACACACGCACACACACACACACACAAACACACACACACACACACACTGTTTCATACACTATATACAAACAGGGATTAAGGACAAACTTCAGCAGCAGCCAGTTGAAGGAAACTCTTCACTGACAAGTCTGACTCAACAGCTGACGTCTATTTTATAGAAAAATATAAAAGCTGCTCGACTGGTTTAAACTCTGCACTGAAACATGACAGCAGCTCCTCAGATAAAACATGGGGCTGCTCTGTGTTCAAGAACCAAGACAAGGTCACAATGTCTCACAAATACTGTGATATGAGAAATGTGTTTTAACCACCTGTAGATGTCAGTGAGAAGTGTCATTGAAGTATCTTCCACTCTTGATTTGTGTTTTTACACGACCTGAAGAGAGACTAACAGTTTGTTTCTCTCCATCCTCAGAGGATTAAGAGCTGCTGCCATATTTTCATTTTTCCATTAAAACTCTCCTGTTTTGCTTCTGACACCAAATGACTCTTTTTGAAACGACTGAGATCTGAACACAACAATGAATATTAAATGACTAAACTCACCAGTTTTCTGAATGAGGACGTCCTCACTGTTCTGAGTGAAGAACTTTGGGTCTCCTCTCCCTCCTCTGCAGCGGTAGAAACCTCCCTCTGAGACAACCATAACTCCGCCTGCTCTAACATCTCTTACTGGATCAGCTGCAGAGTGTGAGTCACGTCTGAACAAGTCGTAGTTCCAGCTGTGAGACTGATCCACAGAGCAGGTCAGTGCCACTCTGCCCCCTGCTGGTATAACTTTTGTGTCTGCTCTCAGTGTGGCCTTGGGTTTATCAGCTGTTCAGATTGAACCAAAAGAAGCAATTAAATGAGTGGAATAAAACAGCTGCTACCATCACATGAAAGTTACAAACATCACATGACTCTCATTGGTGGATAAGTGATTTAGGAAACACAGGAGCTCCCACATAACTCACTAACTAGGTAGTGTTCATGTTGTATTAGTGCAGTGATCAGTGGCATGGTTCCCATACAGGAAGTGATACAGGTGCTGAGGTCCTGTTGGTGAGCTCAGCACAGACTCACTGTGATTTGTTCTTCACTTGATGGAAGAAAAGCACATAGTTCTCTGCTCTTCCCTGAGCATTTCTCTGTCAATCATTACATTTCAACAGCTCACTGTATCATGGCTCCACTTCACTTCCTCTGTTCTCACAATAACAACAAACACTATTTGTCACTGAGCTGCTCCTCAGAGACTTCATTATTGTTGGAGGAAAAATGTTTCCTCTTTAATTTAGATCAATGAAAACATTTAGAAACATGACATTTTCAGAATGAATGAAAGACGGTCCAACTCACGTGATACTGTCAATGTCAAGACGTCACTCCACTCTGTTAAGTAATAGTCACTTCTACCTCTACAGCTGTAGTCTCCACTGTGAGACACAGTAACACTGCTGATAGTGTATTCACTGTGTGATGGAGGATTGTTTATGCTGGTTGTTTCCCATTCATACGTCCACCCAGTGCCTCCACCTCCCTGGATCTCACATCTGACAATGATCTTCTCACCACTGTATATCACAGACCAGTAGGTCAGTAGTATGACCCTTATGGAAACTGTTGACAGAAATACACAGTAAGAAAATAACTAAATTTATAAAATCAAGAGGCAAAACTTTTCAGCACAAATTCAGATGGCAATGATAATCATTAATGTCCAGTTCAGTTGATTTTTTAAGCAATAAATATACAAAATGGCAAAAGCAATAACAACAGCAGTAAAACTGGTAATAAAAATATTGTATGAAAATATTTTTAAAAATTATTTAAACAATTAAAGAAATAAATACTGAAAAGTGAGGAAATGAACAAGCAGCTTTAACACCAGCTGTTGTTCAAGGGATAAATGTGCCTCACTTAAACCTCCCGTATTCACAAGCATCGCCTTTGTCATACAAACACTCAACATGAAGAAATAAATAGAAATGTGTAATAAGTTATCAGACAATATACTGAGGAACAAAGAATCAACAGCAAATTTAATGATGTGTCTGTTCTCATGCTGGGAAATGACAAAAGAATCAAATAGGAAGAAGAGAACAAAGCAGCACATCTGCCGTCACCGACTCACACAATCTGATAATAAATATCAAATATTAAAAGAAAAATATACATTTAAAATATAAAAACATTTTTGCTTAAACATGCAGCTGAGTGATGTTCAATGTCAAGTCTACTAATACTGCATAAAGAAGTCACATGTTTTATCCAGTTCCAGATGTTTATAAATATTAATAAATAAATATGAGCAGCATTAAGAAAGGACCCTCAACTCCTCTATTGTGTTTGTAAACAAATTAAAGTGTCCAACAACTATTATATTCCTGCCCTGATGAAGTTTTTACTAATTGTTTTATAACTTTATTTTACATACAAGAGGTACTGGGCCTCAGTCATTCATTCATCAGGGCTGTAACTGATCTCCTCCACACTTCATGTATTGTTTTATGATTTAAAGAATCCATGTTGTTTTACTCCAGGGAAAATCAGTTAACTCACCAGTTTCCTGGATGGTGACTGAATCACTTTGAGCTGTGACAGAATTTCTCTCTGGTCTCCATCCTCTGCAGCTGTAAACACCTCCTTGGGAAATATTTTCTGTGTCTGATTCACCAGCTTTAAATGGCTGGAGTTGATGAGTGTTTGAGAAGGATCTGAGGAACTCATACTGTAAACCAGCAGAGCCGTTCACAGAGCAGGTCAGTGTCACACTGTCCCCTGCTGGTATAACTGTCCTGTCTGCTGTCAGAGTGGCCTTCAGTTCAGATACTGTTCAAGTCAGAAAAAGAAATGTTTTCCATAACAGAGTGTACACCAACATTCGTCTCAATCATAGATAATGTTTTGTTGAAGTTAACTGATTCCATCCATTCAGCCCCTTTGCTTCCACGTTCATCAGCTCACACAGAAGTGTAACACAGCAGCCAGCACAACATGCCACGACTCAAACAGAGAGTATAATTACTTTCTGTGTAAAAATCAATCATATGACTCTTTGTTATTAAAATCTTCAGGCAGGACTGTTTTATTTTACTGTAGCTGTGTTTGATCTTTTCCCCCCTTCAGACTTCTCTGCACTGTCCACTTGTTCATTCGGCTGCCCTGTTGACATGATCAGATTAATGCATGAATAAACTCTATCTATGAAAATAACAGACTCTTCAGTAAATGCAGTTTGACATTAGGGTCAGCACAGCATTTGGTTTCCCTCCTTCAACATGCATAGCCTCCAACACTGCCCAGACACA